CACTCCCACCAGCAGTGGAGGAGTGTTCCACTTTCTCCACATCCTCTCCAACATAAGTCATCACTGGTGTTTCTAATTTTAGCCATTCTGGCAGGGGTAAGATGGTATCTCAAAGTTGTTTTGATTTGCATTTCCCTGATAGCTAAGGATGTGGAGCATTTTCTTAAGTGTCTTTCAGCCTTTTTGATTTCCTCCATTGAGAATTCTTTCTTCAGTTCTGTACCCCATTTTTTAATAGGGTTATTTGGTGTTTTGTTGACTAGTTTCTTGAGTTCTTTGTATATTTTGGAGATCAGCCCTTTGTCGGATATAGGATTAGTGAAAATCTTTTCCCAGTCAGTGGGCTGCCGTTTGGTCTTGTCAACTGTGTCCTTTGCCTTACAGAAGCTTCTAAGTTTGAAGAGGTCCCATTTATTAATTGTTTCTTTCAGTGTCTGTGCCCCTGGAGTTATGTTCAAGAAGCTGTCTCCTATACCAATTTGTTCAAGGGTACCTCCTACTTTCTCTTCTAAGAGGTTCAATGTGGCTGGATTGATGTTGAGGTCTTTGATCCATTTGGACTTGAGTTTTGTGCATGGCGACAGACATGGGTCTATCTGCAGTCTTCTACACACCCTCATCCAATTGTGCCAGCACCATTTGTTGAAGATGCTGTCTTTGCCCCATTGTATAATTTTAGCTGTTTTGTCGAAAATCAGGTGTTCATAGGTGCGTGGATTAATATCAGGATTTTCAATTCGATTCCATTGGTCTACCTGTCTATTTTTATGCCAATACCAGGCTGTTTTCAGAACTATAGCTCTGTAGTAGAGCTTAAAGTCAGGAATGGTGATGCCTCCTGAAGTTCTTTTTATTGTATAGGGTTGTTTTGGCTATCCTGGGTCTTTTGTTTTTCCATATAAAGTTGCTTATTATCCTTTCAAGGTCGGTGAAGAATTGTGGTGGGATTTTAATGGGGATTGCATTGAATCTGTAGATTGCTTTTGGTAAGATTGCCATTTTTACTATGTTTATCCTACCTATCCAAGAGCATGGGAGGTCTTTCCATTTTCTGGTATCTTCTTTAATTTCTTTCTTTAGAGTCACAAAGTTCTTATTATATAGATCTTTTACTTGTTTAGTAAGCGTTACACCAAGATACTTTATGTTGCTTGTGGCTATTGTAAAGGGTGATGTTTCTCTGATTTCTTTCTCTGCCTCTTTGTCGTCTGAAAAAAATAGGGCTACTGATTTTTTTGAGTTTATCTTGTATCCTGCTAGTTTGCTGAAGGTGTTTATCAGCTGTAGGAGTTCCCTGGTAGAGTTTATTGGGTCGCTTATGTAAACTATCATATCATCTGCAAATAGAGACAGTTTGACTTCTTCCTTTCCAATTTGGATGCCCTTGATCTCCTTTTGTTGTCTTATAGCATTAGCTAGAACTTCTAGTACGATATTGAAGAGATATGGAGAGAGAGGACAGCCTTGTCTTGTTCCTGATTTTAGAGGAATTGGCTTAAGTTTCTCTCCATTCAGTTTGATGTTGGCAGTTGGTTTGCTGTATATTACTCTTATTATGTTTGGTATGTTCCTGTTATCCCTGACCTCTCTAATACCTTTATCATGAAAGGGTGTTGAATTTTATCGAAGGCTTTTTCTGCATCTAGGGAGATAATCATATGGTTTTTCTTTTTCAGTTTGTTTATATGGTGGATCACGTTGATAGATTTTCGTATGTTAAACCATCCCTGCAATCCAGGTATGAAGCCTACTTGATCATGGTGGATGATTTCTCTGATGTATTTTTTAATTCGGTTTGCCATTATTTTATTGAGTATTTTTGCATCGATGTTCATCAGGGATATTGGTCTGTAGTTTTCTTTCTTAGTTGTGTCTTTGTGAGGTTTGGGTACCAAAGTTATTGTGGCCTCATAAAAAGAGTTTGGCAATAAACCTTCTGTTTCTATCTTGTGGAACAATTTGAGGAGTAGTGGTATTAGTTCTTCCTTGAATGTCTGGTAGAATTCTGCACTGAATCCATCTGGCCCTGGACTTTTTTTCGTTGGAAGGCTTTCGATGACTGCTTCTATTTCATTTCAGGTTATAGGTCTATTTAAGTTGTTTGTCTGTTCTTGATTTAATTTTGGTAAGTGATAGTTATCCAGAAACTTGTCCATTTCCTTTGAATTTTCAATTTTTGTGGAATACAGATTTTCGAAGTATGACCTGAAAATTGTCTGGATTTCCTCTGTGTCTGTTGTTATGTTCCCCATTTCGCTTCTGATTTTGTTAATTTGCATGTTCTGTCTCTGCTTTTTCGTTAATTTGGATAAAGGTTTATCTATCTTGTTGATTTTCTCAAAAAACCAACTCTTTGTTGCATTGATTTTTTGTATTGTTTTCCTGGTTTCTATTTTGTTGATTTCAGCCCTCAAGTTGATTATTTCCTGGCGTCTGCTCCTGCGGGTGAATTCGCTTCTCTCTGTTCTAAGGTTTTCAGTTGCGCTGTTAATTCATTTATGTGACTATCCTCTGTTTTCTTCATATGGGCACTTAGTGCAATGAACTTCCCTCGTAGCACTGCTTTCAAGGTGTCCCATAAGTTCGGGTATGTTGTATCCTCATTCTCGTTGAATATTAGAAAGTCTTTAATTTCTTTCTTTATTTCTTCTTTGAACCAGGAGTGGTGCAATTGCACATTGTTCAGTTTCCATGAGTTTGCAGGTTTTCTGCTATTTGTGTTGTTGTTGAATTCCAATTTTAAAGCATGGTGGTCCGATAAGATACAGGGGACTATTTCTATTCTCTTGTATCTGTTGAGGTTTGTTATGTCTCCTAGTATGTGGTCGATTTTAGAAAAGGTTCCATGTGGAGCAGAGAAGAAGGTATATTCTTTTGTCTTTGGATGGAATGTTCTATAGATGTCTGTTAGCCCCAGTTGAGACATAACTTCTGTTAATTCTTTTGTTTCTTTGTTGAGTTTCTGATTTGTGGTCCTGTCTAGTGTTGAGAGTGGTGTATTGAAGTCTCCCACTATAAGTGTGTGAGGTTTTATATGAGCTTTGAGTTTTAGTAGTGTTTCTTTTACGAATGTGGGTGACTTTGTATTAGGGGCATAGATGTTCAGAATTGAGACTTTGTGTTGATGGATTTCTCCTGAGATGAATATGAAATGACCGTCTTCATCTCTTTTGACTAGTTTTGGTTTGAAGTCTAGCTTGTTAGATATTAGGATAGCTACGCCTGCTTGCTTCTTATTTCCATTTGATTGGAAAATCTTTTCCCAACCCTTTACCCTGAGGTAATGTCTATCTTTGGAGCTAAGATATGTTTCTTGTATGCAGCAGAAGGATGGATTCTGTCTTCGTATCCATTCTGTTAATCTGTGTCTTTTTATAGGTGAGTTAAGACCATTAATGTTGAGGGTGAGTAAGGACCATTGATTGTTGATGGTTGTTTGATTTAGGTTTGTTGTTGGCGGGGGTATTGTGAAAATATTTTTTTTGCTTCCCCCTAGGTTTCTGGGGTGGTTGGGTATTTTTTGGCCTTCAATTTTTTGGGGGGGGGTTCCCTCCTTGGGGTGGTATTTTTCCCTCAAAAAAACCCCCCTCCCCTTTGTGGTGTTCTCTGGATATTTTTTTCAAAAAAATGAGAAAGTAACAAATGCAGATCATTTTGTTAAATGACAGGTCTATACCACCAAAACAGAAGAATAAACTTTTCTTCCTTTCCCATATATCTCCTGAGACTGTGTTGATTCTGATCCACCATTTAATTCCTGACACCAAGTGTATTTTTTAAAATGCACACAGAAAACTGACTCAAGGGCTGGGAGATGTAGTTCAGTTGATAGACTGCTTGCCTAGCTTCAATGAATTAAATCTCCAGTACCACATAAACAGGTTTGGGGGTGCATGACTGTAATCCTAGCAATGGGAAGGTGGAGGCAGGAAGATCAAGACTTCAATGTCATTTTTGGAAAAAAAAAAAAAAAGAGCAAACTGGAGGCAAGCCATGCCATGTGATACATAAGACTCTGTCTTTCAGAGAGAAAAAAAAAAAAGAATGAAGGAAGGGAGATAAGAAGAGGAAGAGAAGGACGAGGGTGACAGAAGGGGCCGGGGATGTACTTCAGTGGTAGATTTGAGACTTAGCGTGTTCCAGGCTCTGGGTTCCACTAGACAAACCAAGCAAACAAAACTGAAGGCACCTGAGGAGGGCTGGGAGTGAGGGGGTGATCTGCCCCAGAGGCCAGTCTGGTGTGTGCCAAACAGACAAATAACATTGCACAGACCAAACAGGATGTGTGTGTGTGTGTGTGTGTGTGTGTACATACATACATACATACATATAACCATTAGTGAAATTTTTTTTTTTTAAAAAAAATGCCTTGAAGGAGAGTGGGGAGGTGTAAATGGGAGGGTTTGGATAGAGGAAAGGGAAGGAAGAAATGTAATTATATTATCATCTTAAAAATCAATAAAAGGCCCTTCTGAACAAAGGGAGGGTACTGAAAAGATTTATGTTGGAATGCTAATGGTGTTGTCAGTGGCAGTGAGAAATAAAGGTGTGCTGGGACTGTTAGCCAGCTCTGCCAATGGGCTGAATTCAATCCTTGGAATCCACATGGTAGGAGAGAGCCAGACTTCTGCAAGTTGTCCTCTGGTTTTCACACTGGTGCAATGGTTCCCTTACTCCCCCACTTCACCCAACCCACCGACATAAACAAACAAGTGTAATTTTAAAAAGAAGGGTATATTGTGTCCTGCTTTGGCATATTGATGTATCTTCCATAATTCTATAAGGAACAAAAATAATGGTTGCCATCCCCCCCTTTTTTCATCATTTCCCAGCCTTTATGGAAGCCTCTCCTGGTGGGTGTACCCTCAGTTGGACTTCTTCCATAATGAGCTTCCTACCTTTCATGGCATTGTTTTCATTCTGCTTTCCCATGCAGTTACTGATTCTGTGTAATTTCCCATTCTTTTCATAATTTTTTTCTCTCCTGTTCTTTTGCTCAGCCTCATTGGGATTATCATCGACAGAGGTAAGTTGCAGTAAGAAGGCTGGAATTCCCATCATTATTGCTTTTGAAGTAAAACTAACGTGCGAGTCTAGCACTATTTCGAGGAGAGTGCTGAGATGAAATCTAGGGCCTTGTGCATGCTAAGCAAGTGATTTGCATTGAGCTACACACACATGAAGCCTGAGAGGATTTTTCAAATGCATACTGTTTTATTTGTGTGGGAGGTATGAGGGGTGTGTACATGAGTGCACTCATTTGAAGGTGAGGGGAACACTTTGAATGCCTTCCTCTATTGTTCTTTCCCTTATGGCCTTGAGATGGGCTCTCTAACTAAACTGGAAGCTTCCTTTTTTGTCTATGAGCTACCTAAATCACCCTTCTCTATCCCCCTAAACTGGAGCCATGCCCAGCTTTCTATCTGGGTGCTACAGATTTGAACTTCTTACCCACCTTCCAAGCCCCTTCTCAAATGTATTTTAAAAATGTTTTAGACTGAGATTAGGTATGTCATTCCAGTACTCAGTAAGCAGAGACACTCAAGTCTAGCCTGTCTGCACAGTGAGTTCCAGGCCAGCCTAGGCTACAAAGTGAGACTCTGACTAAAAAAATAAGGAACGGTGGGGGAGAAGCGAGGAACCTAACTCAGTTGTCAGTGCTTATCTAGCTAGCATCTATGGTCCAGTACTACATTAAACTGAATGGTAGTGCCTGTCTGTAATCCCAGAGCTTTAGAGGTAAAAGCAGGTGTCAAGGTCTTCTTTGACTATATAGAGTTCAATGCCAGCCTGGTATATGTGAAAACCTATCTCAAGGAAATAAGAAAAATAAAAACAAAATGAAAGAAAATTAAAGAACATCCACCCAGACCTATTTTAGGTACCTTTACTCATGCTAGGCAAGTGATTTAACACTTAGTCACACCCCTAGTAAGATTGCTAGGGCTTCTTTGTGCTTGGAATAGGAGGTTTCTTTGTAGCCCAGACACCACACCAAGTTAGAATGGCATCATTTTTGCTTTTGTTGTTCCTTTTTGTTTTTTTAAAAGTAGATTCTCATGTAGCTCAGGCTGGCCTGGAACTTGATATATAGCTGATGATAATCTTGAACTCTTGATCCTCTAATCTCTATCTCCCAAGTGTTGGGATTACAGTCATGTACTACTACCACAAGAAGTTTTAAAATCAGATGCCTAGATAGGACCCTCCAGGGAGCATGAACTCCATCCCCAAGAAGGTAAACATTAACCTTGTGTACATAGGTAGCCCTGGTAGATAATTAGCCGGTTTCCTATAGTGACAAACATTTACTTTTTTGGAATCAAAGATGAGAAGGACATGGTGGAATATGTCTTTGATCTCAGCATTTGTGGTGTAGAGACAGGAGGATCTGGAGGTTCACGGCCATCCTTGGATACACAGAAAGTTGGAAGTCAGTTAGCCTGTGCTGAATGAGATGCTACCTTGAAACAAAACAAAAAGGGGATAGGAGGATGGCACTTTTGGTAATTTGCTTGCCTTTCATACACAAGGACTTGTATTCAGTCAATAGAACTGATCAAAAAAAAAAAAAAAAAATTCTGGGGCAGGTCAGTGGTGATGCATACCTTTAATCTCCAGCACCCAGGAGGCAGAGACAGGCAGATCTTTGTGAGTCCAAGGCCAGCCTGGTCTACAAAGCAAGTTCTGGGACAGGCTCCAAAGCTATAGAGAAAGCCTGTCTTAAACAAACAAACAAACAAACAAACAAACAAATAAATATTCTGGGCATGTTGGCAGGAGCCTGTAATCCCAGTGCTGGAGACAGGAGAAACCCAGAGCATGCTGGTCAATCAGTCTAGCCTAATTGGAGAGCTCCAGACAGATAAAAGACCCTGCCTCAAAGGAAGTAGATGGAATTCTTGGAGAAAAAAAAAACACCCAAAGTTGTTCTCTAGCCTCCATACACATGAGTATATAAATATAAGTGTACCTGACATGTACACATACACATTTAAAAAAAAATGTAGAGCTGGGGTGTATGTTAGTAAGTAGACTGTTTCTTAGCATGTATGAAGAATTTCTTTATTTGATTCTTAATACCATAGAAACTGGGCAAGGTGGCACCCACCTATAAGCCCAGCACTCAGATGTAGATACGGGAGGATCTCTGCTACATAGTGAATTTAAAGTCAGCCTGGATACATGAGAGACACTGTCTAAAAACAGCAGCAGCAGCAACCCAAGCAAAAAAAGAAACATGGAATCAAAGATGAGCCACCACTGTATGTGTTCAGAGCCACACACTATAAGGAGTGAGTCTGACCTTTGCAAAGAAACTTCTTGTGGTTCATTGGCCAATTGTCTGTGACTATGACTTTTGTGACTTGCCACTCTGGCTGCCTGCAGGATGAGGGTGAGGACCCCTGGTACCACAAAGCATGCAAGTGTGATTGCCAGGGAGGAGCCAATGCTCTGTGGTCAGCTGGAGCTGCCTCTTTAGACTGCATTCCAGGTGAGTGACTTAATACTCTAGCATTCCTCTGTCCACAGCCTAATCCCTCTGCTCTGTTTGTGCTTTCTTCCCTGCTCACTTGTGAGCACTAGTCACTGCTTCAACACACTTCTTCTCTCTGGCTTGCCTGAGATGGTCAGGTAAGATCCATGTGTCAATGCAATGTGACGATAACTCAGAGTTGGGGGTAGTCCCTTCTTATGGGTATCAGAGGAAGGCGCAGGTTCCATGTCCTGTGATTGATGAGCAGTCAGTCAGTCCATAGTATGTACTTGTAGTCAGGTTGGCTCCAATTCAGCTTGGAGGGTAGGGAGGGAAAGAATCTGAAAAAAACAAGTTGCTTCCATTCTAGAAACCAAATTACTATTGTTTTATGGATTGTCAGAGTTTAGTCAAAAGGGAGGAGTGCTACAAAATGGTATGGTCCTGGTTGATACTTAATTCTGCCATTGTGGGTTTGGAAGTAGCCACAGATATTATGTAAACACATAAGCATGGTTGTGTTATTATTTTATAATAAAGCAGGCAATAGTGAATCTAGATATAGTGCAACAAACCTGTGATCCTAGCACAAACATGAATTTGAGACCAGCCAGGACTACTTAGTGAGACACTATCACTAACAAATAAAACGAATGGGTGATGAGTCAAACTTGATTTAGAGTTAGTTTGGTGACTCTGTTCTTTGGAGCTGTTAGGAGGAAAAAATAGGACAAGGCATCATTGTGTTGAACTTGACCAACTGCAGCCTTTAATAGACATTAGTTCTTTTGTTTTGTTGCCTCCTTGGAGTTTACACTGAGAAATTAGAGCAGACTTGCAGAAGCTTGCACTGTCCTTGCAAATATTTGCAAGGCTTTAATCCTTTCCATGGCCCAGGGTCAATTGTGCATGAAACTGGCCTGGTCATCCCTCTTCTGGTTATGACAGTGCCCTTCAATCTCATTTTCTCAACAGAAACTTAGTCTCTTCAGAGAACTATGAGGTCAAGATGGGGGACTGAATTGGGAGACAGAAGACTGTTCAGTGACATGGGGCTTTTCCTTGGGAATGCTGTCCCATTATGTGTGGTGGCAGGGAATCCTGCAGCTGTTAAATGTTGGTGTGATCTGCCCAGTCTTAAAGGACATTTGCTGGTGATATATGGATAAATCTGTTCAATGACTTTAGCCACACACCTACCATGTGTTGGGCATTGATAAAGCCAGGAACAAAGGCGTTGGCTTCACCATTGTGAGATTTACTATGTAGTGGAAGTGATTATTTTTTTTTCTGTTGTGGATGGGAGATATGCCTCCTCCCAATGGAAGACCCTCAGATCCAGTGGTTCTCAACCTTCCTAATGCTGTAATCCTTTAATACAGTTCCTCATGGCTAGGACCCAAAGCAGAGAGTGAGCCCATTTTCCACAATCTCCTGTGGTGACAAAGAGCCATCTCTACTGGCTAGACTTCGAAGTCTGGGTCTACCATTTTCTTGCCCTTGCCAATCCTTGGGGGCAGTCTGAGGTAGTTCTTTTCCTGCAATAAAGATGGAAATTTTATTAGAACCAGTCTTTATCCACAATTCAATCTGCTACACTTAGATGCAGGAATACATATAAAGGTACACCCACTCATAAAATGAGAAGCTGACTAGGGAAAGGGCTTTCTTTGTTGGAAGCCAGCTGGAGCCTACCAAGACTAGCTCCGATGTTTTCCTCAGAGCCTTGTCTCCTCCTCTTACCTGGTCAGCTTGACTATCACACCTGCTGCTGTAAACACTTTTACTTTTTCTTTGTGTCTGACCTTGCCATTTTGAGCCTAATATTTGTTTTAACTAAAACATTTCCAGTAGCTACATGGGATCTACTGAAATTTCACTTCAAAGAAGCTTCTTGGGAAGTAGACAGGGCTAGGGATATAGCTCTGTTGGCAGAGTGCCTGCCTAGCACATACAAAGCCCTGGGTTCCATCTTTGGGTTCATGATCCCAGCTTTCTGGAGGTAGAAGCAGGAGGACCATATTCAGTTCAACAGAGGATGCTTGAAGTCAGCCTGCATTACATAAGACACTGTCAAAAATTAGAGAAGAGGGCCGAGATGCCTGCTGAGCAGACTCACACAATGGAAGGAGAGGGAGACTGTCTCCAGTTGTCTCTGATCTCTACATGTGTAGAGATCACACTCTCTTTAACCCCCTCCCCCAAATAAATATATTAAGCTACTGAAGAGAAAGAAAAGGAAAAGAAATTGGACAAAGATTGTTTGTGGGGATTGGCTTTATTAAATCAATCAACCAAGGCACTGAGAAAGTCCTACTTTAGCTATTTGGTCCCTTATGGAGTTGCCATGAACTTGAGGTTCTAACATGATACTGTGTCTTAACATCAGTGTTCTCTTTATAGTGTTTATTTTTCTAACAACACGGATACTTTTAGAGAGAAAAAAAACCAGCGTGAAATAGTTGATTCATTGTATTAGCTGGCTGTTCTGTGAATGGAGATATTCAAGGTAACAGGACTAGTCTCAAGCTTTCAGTTGAGTTGGTCACTGTTTCAGTGTCTCATGGAACGCCAAAAACACCACTTCATCTGTCTGGATCTTGATATTGAGTGCTTCCATTAGGGCTTGCCTTAGGAGGGAAGATCCTAGAAAGCACAGAAGTATGAGTACTGTCACTCAGAGCTGCCAGAAATCCCACAGGCGTACTTAGCTTAAAGTCTTGGGGCTCCACACACCAGAAGGCCAGGGACCTTTAGCTTCAGCTAAAACTGTTACAAACACCAATTCTGCCTTTTCCACAACTGAGGTAAGATTGGCCTGGCTTCCTGAAGATGGGGTGTAGCAGGGTGGAGGCATGCAAAAGCCTAAGAAATACAAGGGGTCAGGCTGGGGATATAGCTCAGTGGTCAGCACTTGCCTCACATGTGTGAAGCCCCAGGTTCAATCCTCAGCACTATAAAAACCAAAACTAAAAAGAAAAATAATCCAATGGTTCCTTATTAATTTACTTTCGTTACAGATTTGTATTCTATGCAATGCAAATACACATGTATAATCTTTTGTAAATATTATTTTGTTTTACTATTCTACATTCTATCATTGTTATATGTTTTCAATTCTAACACACACACACACACACAGAAAGAGAGAGAGAATAATATTCACAGTTCTCAGCAATTTCTTGTCAGAAATGTTCCTGAGCTGCCCTGTCCTCTGTTTTTTTTAAGACAGGCTCTCATTGGGCCAAGGATGACCTCTAATTCCTAATTGCCCTGGGAGCTGGAATTGTTGGCATGTCCCACCAGGATTAGTTTTCTTTGGGTTTCTTTAGGCTAACTTTGTTTTCTTTTCTGGTACTGGAGACTGAACCTAGAGCCTGGCACATGCTAGGCAAGCATGCAATCAGTGACTGACACATCAAGACCCTGTACTTATTAAAGAATGACTCCACCACTGAGCAACATCCCAACTTTTACTTTATCCCTGAATAGTTTTTATAAATGAGGCTGGACCTCATGTTTACAGGCCCATACAATATAGACTGAATAAAGCAAGCTAATATGATAAGTAAAGTACCTTAGTAACCTATTTCACAGATACCCTTACACATCAAGGGTCACTTGAGCCATAAAAGATGTAAGTTTTTCCTTTAAAAGTAAAATGACTATAGAAAACAATATAACAGGGGCCCGTGATTTGAGATGGGTCAGTGCATGAATGCTTTCTGTGCAAACTTGATGACCTGGGTTTCAGTTCCCAGCACCCACATTAAAAAATGTGTCGCATACCTTTAATCTCAGAACTCAGGAGGCAGAGGCAGGTGGATCTCTGTGAGTTTGAGGAGAGACTCCACAGCTATACAGATAAACCCTGTTTCAAACAAACAAACAAACAAACAACGATGACACAAAACCCCAACCAACCAACCAACCAACCAAAAACACTACTGGCAACAAAACTGGGCATCACAAGGTAAATCCAGCACCCAGGAGGTAGAAATAGGCAGGTGTATGAGCTTTAGGCCAGCCTGGTATACATAGTGAGTTCCAGGTTAGCCACACTAAAAAGTAAAACCTGATCAAAGCAACAACTCCTCCCAAAAAAACAAACAAACAAAAACTAGGCATTACTGTATATGTAACCTCAGCATTGGTGAATGGAGACAGGTGGATTCTGGGAGCTTGGTGGCTAGCCAGCCAAAACAAAACATTAAGCTTCAGTTCAGTGAGAGACCCTGTCTTAAGGGAGTAAGGCAGAGAGTGATAAAGGAATTCACCTAACGTTTTCTGCTCTCCACATGGCCATGTGCACTTGTGGCCCACATACATACAACACACACACACACACACACACACACACACACACACACACACACACACACGCCAGTGTAGTAGCTGTTTACAATAAAATAACTGCAGAAATTTTGTGAAGGTAATGTTCTTTGTGGCCTCACTAAAGATCTGCCCTTTGAAGTTTACAAGAACTGCCTGGGGGTGAGGTCTGAGCCCCACAGGAAGTGTACAGCTGCTTATGGTGGAATCTCTCTCTAGGCCACATTTCCTTAGAATCCCCAGATTGTGTTCCTGACTGTGTGCAGAGGGCTAACTTATCCGTGGTCCTATTCCTCAGTGGGACCATGTCTCCAGTGATCTCAGGCCTCCACATGGTCCCTTTTGCATTAGCTGTGGCTGTCGCCTCATCATTCAACTCCCTAATTGTGAAAGATGCTGCCAGTTGGGTAGGTGGAGGGTAGGACAGACAAGCACAGGGGTGTTGGATTTCTGCCATGGTAAGTCCAAATAAAAACACAAAGCCAAGAAAGAATCCATTTAGCGTCATAAATTTACCCACAACACCAACCAGTATGACAGCCTGCTCCTTTTTTTAGCTCAGCATTGTACTCTTCCGAGTCTACAGTTGTCAAACATGATTTCGCTTTATTTTTTCCCAAGTGTCTTGAGGCAATATTACTATGATGCCCATTCACAGGTGAGAATCAGGCTCAGAGGGCGTTAAGAACTAAGTTCACTGACACTGAGCAGGCCTCCTTTTTCTTGACTGCTTATTATAACCACCTGTGGCTCTGGGGCCTTGCTCCATTCAAATCCCAGCAGATAATCTGTGGGAATGTGTTGGAGTATTGGCATGTATGAAGCTCCCTGGGCAATGAGACGGTGCATCTCAGACTGAGCCCTCCTGATCTGTAGTCTTTGCTGTGTGGCTTCTTGAAGGTGTCAAGGCCTGAGACCCAGAGTACCAGTCAGGAAGTAGGGTGACACAGAGCCAGCTTGGATTATAAAGGACACCAAACTTCTTTGGGTCATCCAGGTGGCATTATTCAAGGGGTGGCAAGACGTGGTTGGGCATAGTCTCATGGAGGTCACATGAAGCCCTGGAGAATTAGTGCAGCCTAGATAAATAAATATGTCTGTCTGTCTTTTTGTCTTTTCTGTTTTTCTTTCTGCTTTTTCTTCTCTTCCTCTTACTTAGTTTTTTTTTTTTTTTTTTTTTTTTTTTTTTTTTTTTTTCTTTTTAGACAGATCTCACGTATTCCAGGCTGGCCTTGGAACTCACTATGTAGCCAAGGGTTTCTTTGAACTCCTCTGTCCTATTCTAACTCCCTTACAGGCATGGGAGTCCAAATATGCCCAGATTCTGAGGATAGAGCCCAGGGCCAGCTAAGCCCTCTAACAACTGAACTCTGTCTCAGGTCTCCAAACATGTCTTTGGATCACAATCTTAGCAGCTGAACCAGCCCTTTCAGGTCTGAGGGCACTGCCAGTGTAAGTCTTTAGCTTACTCCTGCCACCTGGGCGATGTGGGAAACAAAGCAAAATGGAAAGAGCAAACTGCCACAAACAGGGACTGGAAAAGTGGTAACACGTTTCATTTTTCCCCCTTCCTTGCTAGCCCATATTCCTGAAGAGAAAGGGGGAAAAAGCAAAGGGATATGGTCACTAGACGTTCAAAGCAGAACCGACTAGTGATATCTCATTAGAATCTGACAGAGAAAGGCGGAAATGTAGCTCATTTGGTAAAGGGCTTGGCATGTATGCCTTCATGGTTAACAAAGGCGAAAAAAAAAAAAAAAAAAAAAAAAAAAAACCTGACAAATTAAAGAACCTGAGGGGGTGGGTAGGTCTACACCTATAATCTCAGCATTTTCGAGGTAAAGGCAGGAAGATCAAGGCCATACTTAACTACATAGCAAGTGTTCACAGTGAATTTGAGGCCAGCCTGGGCTACATAAGACCTTGTCTCCCCAAACCAAAACAGATTGACAGGCGGAAGGTCATCAAACTCTGCTTTCTGCCGCTGGGTTCTTTCCCTGCCTTTTGGTAGCTTAACCCTGTCTTGGAGGCTGGAGGGGTGTTGGGGGCTGGGTGTTTGGCTCCTGCAGTCCACCAACCCACAAAATGCCTTTCTTGACAAGCCAAAGCTTTTTAAATGCACTTTGAAACTACGCTTGTTAAAAATACTCCACTACGGGAGTGGAGTCCTAGATACCGCATTCCTAATATGCTCCCCTAATGATTTGGCCACACCAGGTGGTGATTGAGTGGCTCATAAAAGTACTGATCCTATCTCCTGAAAACTGGTATGATTTTAATAGACTCCAATGCCTTGAGTACTTGATAAACTACAAATGCTGTCCCTTCAGCCTTGGCACTGATGATATGTACATACAGCTAGAAAGGAAGCTGAGCCATCCTATCATGAAGCCTGCTGCTATTCTGTCTATGGCATCTCAGGGCAGGGCATGGCCATTTCTGAAAGTGTGTGTGTGTGTGTGTGTGTGTGTGTGTGTGTGTGTTGAAGATGGAGCCTTGTGTATGCTACAAAAACACACTACTACTCATCTACAGGCCCAGTCTGTTTTACTGCTTTGGGGAAACTCATCCCCAAAGGAGACTCAAACAATCCCTGTTAACGGTCCAGCAAATAAATATACATCTTTCGCTTGAACTTAGATTTATACATGGAGAGCATAATTCCATTTTCCTTACTTGGAATTCATCATTCTCAAGTAGGAAATGAGGTGAGTGGGGGTGAATAGATGTATACAAGGTTATCTTTTGTTTTCTATAGGATTTCAGTTAGGAACTGGATTAGGATTCAAATAAGAGATTGCCTACGTAAGTGGCTTATCAAATTACTTTTGTACTGACATGTAGTAAAAGTACTGGGGGTTAGAGAGCTAAATAAGGATAGTTGGGCTAGGGAATCCTACAGGTGCCCCCAGAGTGCAAGTGACTTACAGTTGTACCAGCTCTCATGACTACCTTCTGTGTGGGCAACAGGAACGAAAGGGGGACAAAGCGAAAATTGGACCAGACAACTTTTAGATTCCCTTATCTCTTTCTGGTCAGAAGCTATGTCAGGTAGTCACTTCTAACTTTGAGAAACTCTGGAAAAGATGTTAAAATTTGTGCATGGGTTTCATTCATTTATTTATTTGTTTATCATTTATTTATTTATTTTTAAGACAAGTGATATTGCTGCCCTTAATAAAACTGGTTTGTTTTGTCAAAACAAAAGGGAGAACAGATGCTCAGTTGTCAATTGGCAAGGTAACCCAATGCTGGTTTTAATGTGAGGACTTACTTAAAAAGGGAAGGGATCAGCAGGCAACTAGCCTATAAGGACCACTTTAGCTGTTCACATTTGGAAGAAAGTAGTCCCCTCCAGCTGTTCGCTATTCATAGTCATCCTTTATTTTTCTTCAGACAGTGAGAAAATGACAATTTACAAGTAAGAAGTCAGTCTCAGTATGTAATTGCCATTTTTGTTGCTCACCATTGTTTCCTTCCTGTAATTGGCTTCATCTGCTGCTCAAGAACAATTAGAGACCCTAATGTTCTTATGCAGCACAGTTCAACCTGTGATAATGAGGGAACTAAAGCTGGACGCTTGGCATTTCAATATGCTATTTCACTGAGCACCTCTTGGCATTTAGGTCTCTAAGTTGATGAGGGAGGTGATGCATTTTTCACACACCCCCAATGAGGTTGCCATAGAACCAGCTCCCCATCTTTTATGGATGGTAAGTGAATGTCTCTATGGCAATCCCTTTACTTCATTCAGCTCAACATCATCCCTTGTGAGCACTTAATAGAGGCAGATCCAGCTCTCCGCATCCAGTACCAAGCTGAGAAATGAAGTGTCTTCCACTTGCAAAGTGCCAATGTTTCTGCTTTGTTCTTTAAGCCATTTCCTGCTGGAGTTCTGGGATTGGGGGGGGGTCATTCCTTCTTTTGGACTTTGAGATGAGATTTCAATATCTTCTCGGGGTAGCCCAGAGGAGCAGGGACTCCACACATACACATGCCACCACTCTGGCTAGAGATTTGAGTGTATGTTGTTTTTCCTCCCCAGAATGCCCATATCACAAGCCCCTGGGTTTCGAGTCAGGGGAGGTCACGCCAGATCAGATCACCTGCTCCAACCCAGAGCAGTATGTGGGCTGGTATTCCTCATGGACAGCAAACAAGGCCCGGCTCAACAGCCAAGGCTTCGGGTAAGTAGGGCAGGCAGCCCAGGTGGAGACTTTTTTTTTTTAAGATGTGATTTGAAAAATTAGGTCTGTCTCAGAAACTTATGGCACAGAGAGCACTTACTCAAGAAACCTTCACTAAGTGCCTTGTTGTGCCAAGGGCTGTGAGTACAGTGGTGGCAGAATGGGTGAGTTCTTTGGCATTGGAGGCACACAGAGAAGAGAGGTAGGGAGACAGACTGTCGGCACATCCCTGCACGCCTGATTATTCCAGCTCCGGGGATGAACACTGTTTGGGGAGATGAGGAAACAAAGAAAGACCTCACCAATTAAACATTGCAGGGAAGTCTTTCCTAAGGAAAATACCTGATCATTCTCAGAGTTGGGATGATACCTCTTGGTCCTAGTAGACCCTCAAAATCTGGCACCTGCTGGCTTTTTGCAGACATTTATAGAGCAGAGCTCCTGATAATTTGGTGTGTTCTTGGCAGGTGTGCTTGGCTTTCCAAGTATCAGGATAGTAGCCAGTGGCTACAGATAGATTTGAAGGAAATCAAGGTGATTTCGGGGATCCTTACCCAAGGGCGCTGTGACATAGATGAGTGGATGACAAAGTACAGCGTGCAGTATAGGACTGATGAACACCTGAACTGGATTTACTATAAGGATCAGACTGGAAACAATCGGGTAAGTAGGACTCACTCCAAGTCATCTTCAGCTCATACCCGGTGAGATTTGCCCCAGCCCAATGCTCCTGCTGTCCATGTCTGTGTCAGAGCACTGACCTCTCTGCATGTTGGGTCATCTGTGTTCCATCTCCACTGTGTGATCTGCTCTCTTTCCCAGATGTAGCCTGAGTAGCAGTTTGTAAATAGATGCTGTTCTTTTGTGCAAAAGAGCTATTTTCCTAGTTCTCAGTGTCAGCCTCTAGTCACTTGAAAACACTACTGGCTATTTGGTCCGTTACAAACTCACTGGATCATTAACTGTGGGGCTTCATGGGCCTGACTTATCACTCATTTGTATAGTTATGGACTCTTTTTACTATTGACTGAGACTGACAGCTGCAAAGGAAGCCCAGGAAGTTAGCCACTTCGAGGCTAAAGAGATGGCCTAGTAGTTAAGGATACATACTACTCTTACAGAGAAGCAGAGTCCAGGTCCCATCAACAAGATCATAATGTTTCAGGGGATATGGTGTTTCTGGCTTCCAAGGATATCAGCACTCCCTTGCACATAGCCACATAAGACATACATGGATACATATAATAATAAAAGAAATACTAAAAACAAGTTTGAAAATGTTAGTAATGGCTAATATTAAGATGAACCAATATGCCGGGAGGCAGAGGCAGGTGGATCTCTGTGAGTTCCAGACCAGTCTGGTCTACAGAGCTAGTTCCAGGACAGCATCCAAAGCCATGGAGAAACCCTGTCTCGAAAACTCCATGTCCCCCCAAAAAGATGAGCCAATACTAATAGCCTAAATGGATACTTAGAAGATGGTGTCAGTTCAGACACACTTAACCTATTAATCCTTGCAGACTGAGCTCTAGATCTTCATTGTGGACTAAACACATTAAGCGCCTGGTTGTCTTTACATTAGTAAAAATAAATTAAAAACCCACAAGCTGTTTAGAAATGCTTAGCCCATTTATTTTTTGGCCCAACACCAAGAAGATCTTCAGGCTATTTCCTACCTCTCTCTTTCCCTCTCAATGTGCAGCCCAGGCTGGTCTTGCTCCTTTAGCCTCACTCTCCTGGATGCTGGGATTACAGGTACATACAGCCACGTCTATTTCTCAGATTATTTTAGGCATTTAGTGAGATTAGGCAGATATGTGTGGCTAATAGAAGATCTTATAGTTCATGGTAACAATTTGCACAGTCAGTCACAGGTTGAAGTTTTGAGGAGTTTGACAGAATAGGAAAAACCATTTTGATTCTTTTTCTTCTTCTTCTTCTTCTTCTTCTTTTTTTTTTTTTTTTTTTTTTTTTTTTTGAGACAGGGTTTCATGTATTCCACACTGGTCTCCAATTTGCTATGTGGCTGAGGATAACCTTAATTTCTGCTCCTCTTTCCTCTATCCATCTCCTGAGTGCTAGGATTAGAGGTGTGTACCATAGACAGTTCATGTGGTGCTGGGGATCAGAACCTAGCATTTTGTGCTTGGCAGTCAAGCATACTACCAATTGAGCTACATCTCCAGCACCTCTGAATTTCATTTTCTGGCCTTACCAGTTAGTGGTATTTTCCAAAAGACATTATAATTCCTTTTCAAGCCTTGTGCTTCTGGAGGTCTTGCTCCACTCCATTTGGGAAGACTCAGGCCCTAGTCCATCAACTCCCTCTTTACTTCCTTCTGACTTGAATATGCTCAAGGACAAACCACTTCAAGAGAAGGCAGCTCAGGCCTTGTTGCTTGGAAGAATGGCAAGATCACTGCAAACAAGGCCCAACAATTTTGTGGCTGGATAAAGCAAAGTGCAGCAGTTAAGTATTTTCAGGGAAAGCTACAGGAGGAAATGATATGCTCTTATGTCATGGAGCAGAACACTGTGACCCTGGAAAGAGGATGAACAGTTCAGAAATAGTGTCAGGTACCTGCAACATTTTATGTTGCTTCCTGAAAAACATTAAGCAAGCCTTTATTTCTTTATGTCAATACCACCTTCTCCTTTCCAGAAACTTCCCTTTAGTTTTTGTGTATTTGTAAAATAAAATATTTTTTTCAAGCCTAAAAACCACTTGCCACTTGGAATAGAACAGAAACACATTAAGCTTTGCCTTCCAACTTCAGAGCCAGACATAGGTTTGACTTGAGTGCATCCTGGATATCTTCGGAACATGTGAACATCTCTCTTGTGTTGGACAGATCTTTCAAACTTTTTTTTTTGTTAAAGTGCAAAGGATTAAAATGAAAAATTGGTAAAGAGTCAAGGGGCATATTCTAGCAACCATCCAATTGGACTATGTGATTCTGCACTGGCCATCATGGTGACTACTGGTCATGTGCAGCTGCTGACCTCTTTAAATGTAGCTAATGTGGGCTGTGCAGGTGGTACTGTAGTAGAAGCTTGCTTGGCATATAGAAGGTCATGGCACCACACACACACACACACACACACACACACACACACACACACACACACAACTTGTGTGTGGCTATTATATGACCAGACTTCCTCCCTCTGTTTAGGTCTTCTATGGAAACTCGGACCGGAGTTCTACAGTCCAAAATTTACTGCGCCCCCCCATCATTTCCCGCTTTATCCGACTGATCCCTCTAGGCTGGCATGTCCGAATTGCCATCCGGATGGAGCTGCTTGAGTGTGCCAGCAAGTGTGCCTGATGCCCGTTTCAGCTCAGTCCTGCCATAATGGGAAGAGTTTGGTGGGGGTGGGGTGGGGGGAGCACCTGACGTGATGAACAGGAGGGCTATATCTTATAAGCACTTTAAAATGTAGATCTGGATAGAGAATATCTCCTTTTTTTTTTCTTTTTAAAAGATATAGTTTCCAATTTCAATGGAAGAAAGAGAGAGGAAAACAGAGAGAGAGAGAGAGAGAGGGAGGGAGGGAGGGAGAGAGAGAGAGAGAGAGAGAGAGAGAGAGAGAGAGAGAGAGAGAGAGAGAGAGAGAGAAGAGCATTTCCCCAATTCGGTCAAAGAAAATAAGAACAAAGAAAATATCTCTCAAAGCAATTTTCTTACATAAACCTAAATAGCAGGGGTAATTTGCTGCTCTTGCTCCCTCTTTTTCTTTTTGTCTCAGTGACACTGTCAAAGGTGCAGACCCAGAGGGAACACAAAGCAGCTCTGATCATTTGAAAATTCTCTTTGGCTCATACCTCATTCAGAACAGGAGAATATGATTTTGCAAAGCCTCACATAAATGCTGAAGGCTTGTCCTTAAATTTTTCATTTTCATTAAATCTTGATGAGAGAGGACTGGAGACAAGTACACAGGCATGAATAAAGCAGAGAGGAGCCTGTAGCAAGGCCCAGGAGTCTGTAAACAGCAACAGACTGACCGACCAACCACCAGACCAAGCAAGCAAGCAAGCAAGCAAGCAAGCAAGCAAGCAAGCAAGCAAGCAACCAACCAACCAACCAACCAACCAACCAACCAACCAACCAACCAACCAACCCAACTAACTAGTCAGCCAGCCAGCCAGCCAAATCAGCCAACCAGTCAAGGCTTCCCCTCTTCGAATGGTTTTTGCCTGGAATGGGTTTGGGCTTTTAGCCACAGGCCTGAGGGAATTAGGGCTGGCTGGAGTTCCTTTACATATAGCTCCATTCTACAACCCATGAAGCTAGGTGTCTGTCTGTGCTTACCAGAAAGTGAATGTGTGTGAGTGTGTGTGTGTGTGTGTGTGTGTGTGTGTGTGTGTGTGTGTGTGTGTGTGTGTGTAGTGAGGTTTCCCTTATATAGAGGAAGCCCAAATGACTAGACTATATCACACCTTCTTTACCTATGGCTACAGTTTTCAAGAAATTGAACACACTTTGAAAACAGCTGAAGCAAGACCTATCTCTGGCTACTGAGAGGAGACCATACTTTGTGGCAAGGGGTCAGAGTGTGGTCATGGAGGGCTGTGTGGGGATGGCTCAATCAGTAAAGTGCTTGCTGTACAAGCATAAGGACTTGAGTTTCTATTCCTAGAATCCATGCAAAAAGCTAGGCATGGGCAGGTATGGTGGTGCATGCTTTTAATCTCAGCATTTGGGAGGCAGAGGCAGGAAGATCTCTGTGAGTTCAAGGCCAGCCTGGTCTACATAGAAGTTCCAAGCCAGGTAAGGCTACATAGTAAGACCCTGTCTCTAGAAAGAAAGAAGAAAGAAAGAAAGGAAGGAAGGAAGGAAGAAAGGAAGGAAGGAAGGAAGGAAGGAAGGAAGGAAGGAAGGAAGAAAGAAAGAAAAAAGCTAGGCATGGTGGGCCATACCTGTAAATCCTAGGACTAGGAGGCAGGTAGAGACAAGGATTCCTAGAGCTTGCTGGCCAGTCAATCTAGCCTAACCAGTTCACTAACAGACCCTTTCTCAAAAATAAAAGTGAAGAACAATTGAGGAAGATACAGATGTGGACCTCTGTCCTCCCCACCCCACACAAACATATGAGCAGAAGAGCCTATAGCTTCTCTGTGAGATGCTTCTGCCCGGCAGCCTCTGCCTGGCCCATTCAAACAAGGTTGCTCCCACATGGTATGTGAAACCTCTTTGGGTAGGAATGGGATTGGCTCATCATTCTCTGGCTAGAGTAGTGCATTTAGCAGGCAGTTTCAGAGCCTGAGAGAATGATTATTTGTCTGGGTTTCATTTGCCACCTGGAGCTCATGCTGTGTTTGAGGCCCTTCTCTGGGAGAGGCATGTGGGGAGGAGCTGACAATCTAAAGGATGAGGACCTTCCAAAGACAAGAGCCTGGCCTAACACACACAGTGTAGCCCTGATTAGTAGCTCTTTTCTCTGAGATAACCTTCCATTTCCAGATATCAAAGGGATTTCATGGCCTCACACTAACATGGCCTGGGATGACTGGACTTGGTGGCTTACATCTTTAATCCAGGCACTTGGGAGACACAGACAGATGAATCTCTGTGAGTTCAAAGCCAGAGCAAGCTTCAAGCCCACCAAGGCTACATAGTGAGACTGCCTCTCAAAAATTGATCAATCAATCAATCAATCAATCAATCAAATGACCTTGGATATCACATTCTTCTCAGTGAATGGAACAACTTCTCAAAAGCCTCCAATTTCCTACTCAGTATTTTAGAGTTCCACAGGTATGTGTGTGTTGTGTGTATGGGGGGTGGCATTGCACAATGACATTCCTAGTATCACAACACATGTACAAATCCATTTTTAATGAAATTCCTGAACACAGACTCTTATTTGGAAAACTCAATTACTTTATACACCACTGAGTAATTGTCAGAGAAAATGGCAATAACTTAAGAGTACTGATCAGGGAAAAAAATAAACAAAAAGGTGTGAGGCATGGATAAAGACTCATCAAATAACAGTTCATATCATAAATTTGTTTTATACTAGTTTTATATTAAGTTCACATAAACAGCCCTTATCCACTTGAGGTGTATAATTCAATGATAGTATATTCAGACTTGTGCAGTCATTATCACAAGTAACTTTAGACTATTCTTATCACCTCAGAGAGAATCCTCTACCATGAACCATCAGAAACACCAGCCCTAGGTTACTTGTAGTCCATTTTCTACCTGCATGTAGATTTCCCCACATAAATGGAATTCTGTGATATATAGTAGTTTGTGACTGGTTTCTTGTACTTATGATGTTTGTAAAGTCCATGTGTTGGAGAAGTACTTCTTCCCTTTTTGTTACTATCATTCCATGTAGGAATATGCAATTATTATCTCTCTATTCATGTGGGTGTTTTCCACTTAAGGGCTGTTATGCATAATGCTGTTATATGGACATTTATGTGTAAATTTTTGTGTAGACACTTTTTATCTTGAGCATACATACACTGGGAATTGTTGGGTCAGTTGGTGACTCCATGCTTATGAATAACTACTTTCCCGGGTGACTGCATCATTTTCTGTTTCCACTAACAATATATGAAGGTTCCAGTCTCTCCACATCTTCAGCAATGCTTCTTGTCTTCCATTAGCTCCATTTTATGATGTGTGAGGTGGCATTCCATGGTGATTTTCGTTTTCATTTCCCTAAAAACCAAAGGTGTTGAACATCTTTTCAAGGGACTATTTGCATATCTTTGGAGAAACATCTATTCAGACCCTTTGCCTATTTTAAAATAAATTTCATTTTATTAATCCATTAAGAGTTCTTTGTATATTCTACATATAATTCTCTTATGCAAACATTTCTTCCATCCTGTTTTTGTTGTTGTTTTGAGACAGGATCTCACTATGTAGCTCTGGCTAGCCTGGAACTCACTCTGTAGACCAGGATGGCCTGGAACTCGCAGAGATCCATTTGCCTCTGCCTCCCAAGTTCTGGGAATATGGGTCACCACATCTGGCCTTTCTTTTTTAAAACTCTCTTGGTGAAATCCATTGAAGCACAACGAATTCTCAATGTTAAGGAAGTCCAACTTTCTTGTTGCTTCTTTTGGTGTATTATCTGAGAAACCACTTCTAAGTCGAGGGTTTTGAAATTATTTAAAAACGTTTTAAAGAGTCTCCTTCCATCCTCTGCATGTCAATATGTAGTTGTACTGGTCCCTTTGTGGAAATCCTTCCCCTTGAAAATGGTCTTTGTACCCTTGCCAAAACCAACTGGCCCAGAATGTGAGGGTTTTCTTTGGGCCTCATAATTCTACTACTTCACAGTCTTCATTATCATAGCATTGTAGGAAGTTATGAAATTAATATATGTGAGTCTTTCAATTCTGGTCTTTTTCAAGATTGTCCTGTTTATTCTGCATTCCTTAAATTTCTAAATAAATATATCTGAAGCCAGCCAAGGGTTTCACAATGGAAAATGCTTACAGTCTCAGAATTGAATGGACAATGAGACACTAAGATCTGTAAAACATGTATTGTGAGTAATTTGCTTTCACCAGCACACAGATTATTTACTTCATTAAATTTGTGATAGGATTATTAAAAACTATTATTGAATAAAACCTGGAGCCCTGATAAATTGTCTTTGTACCCTAATAATCTTGCTATTAAACAAAAAAAAAATGTTTGTAATGTCATTTCTTTTAGGGGATGAGCAATTTAATAAAATTATATAATGGAGCAAACCCACTCCTATCTTGGCATATTTTGTTTATTTTTAATACTAGATTTTGGGTTATACATGGAAGGTTTTGTTTTTTATGGTTTTGAGGACCTTCAGGGTATCATACATGCTAGGTAAATGCTCTACCACTAAGTTCCATCTGCAGCCTGCAGCTTAAAACAAAACAAAGTAGAAAAACACTCAACATTTTGCATAGTTTTAATTCATTATGAAGCATTAAATAATGTTATTAAGAAAAACTGGAAGTGATTCTGGTACTTGACGTGGAAAGATATATAGACAAGGAAAGGTATTTCAAAGTAGAGAAACTGCTGTGAATCAGGTCTCAGAGCCAAGAAGACTACATCCCATAAGTGAGCTTTTTAATAACTGCTGACAGATGTAGAGGGCAGCTGAAGAATACCTTATAAGGTCTTCTGCTTCCCCCCAAAAGTCCAAGAACAGCCCCAAGCTGGATTTATTTTATATGAAGAGCAAATAGAAAATATGTACCCAATGTACTAACCACAAAGCTCTCTATAGCCTGCTTTCCCAGTTTCTTTTAACATTGATATGATTGGAGTGTGTGTGTGTGTGTGTGTGTGTGTGTGTGTGTGTGTGT